CCAATGAGGAAACAGTCCTGCTAGACCCTCCCAAAGCAGCTGACCAATGAGGAAACAGTCCTGCTAGACCCTCCCAAAGCAGCTGACCAATGAGGAAACAGTCCTTCGTCACCTACCTAAACACAGCTGACCAATGAGGAAATAGTCCTTTTACACCCACCCAAACACAGCTGACCAATGAGGAAATAGTCCTGCTACACCTGCCCAAAGACAGCTGACAAATAAGAGAACTGTCCTGCTACACCTGCTGAAAAAACTCATCTGACCAATAAGGAAACTGTCCTGCCATACTCATCCGGAAACTGCTGACCAATGAGGAAACAGTCCTGCTAGACCCTCCCAAAGCAGCTGACCAATGAGGAAACAGTCCTTCGTCACCTACCTAAACACAGCTGACCAATGAGGAAATAGTCCTTTTACACCCACCCAAACACAGCTGACCAATGAGGAAACAGTCCTGCTACACCTGCCCGAACGCATCTGACCAATCAGGAAACTGTCCTGCCACACTCGTCCGGACGCTGCTGACCAATGAGGAAACAATACTGCAAAACCCTCTCAAAGCAGCTGACCAATGGGAAAATGTACCTGCTACACCTGCCTAAATGCATCTGACCAATAAGGAAACAGTCCTGCAACAATTGGCCCAAAAACACAAGACCAATGACGAAACAGTCCTGCTACACCTGCCCAAACACAGCTGATCAATGAGGAAACAGTTTCGCTAAACCTTCCGTTCCAGAGTGTTTTTCGTATCTCGAAGAAAGTTTTACACGTAATAAGCCTAATCCATGCAATGGCTCTCAGAAGTAACAGTATAAAAAATGGAAAACCAGAGAAAAATCAAGTAACTTTTCTTTAATTCTTAAATCTACACATTGTTAAAGTATTAAATGATAATAAAACAGAATAAAGTGGCACATTTGCAGAGTGGGTAGCACTGTGGCTTCCAGTTAGAAGGTTGTCAGTTCGAGGCTCGAAATTTGAATAATCTAAATTCCCCTTAAGTGTGAATGTTGCCCTGCGATGGACTGGCAACCTGGTGTCCTAATGTGCACTGGAGATGGGTGAGTCAAAAAATGGAATTAGTGGGTTGGAAAACTCTGAAGACTCTCAGGACTAGCCCCTTCCGATGCTGCAAGGGAAGGCAGATCATCCGTACGTTGTATGAGGTTCGGCCAATGTCAGAGCACTGCCCGACCTACTCCAACGCCAGACTGGGCATGCATGTAGTGAGCTCGAGCGAGTGGACTGTTGAAAGCCATCCGCGAAGGAGCGTTGTCAGCAATGCACCCCACGTACATCCACCAAAATGCATGTTTCGGAAGAGCATTGCAATACAAACACGTTAATTCTGCATAAGCGCAATGCTGGCGTGCTTGAGCCCAAACACACATAACGCATTTCTCATTGCCATCCTTCGATGGAATAATCCCTTTGCCACCAGGAATACACAAACTCTGCTGATCACGTCTTTAATGGGATGGGATAGCTCTTTCAACAGAGAGACACACTGGAACAGGCTTGGCTGGAGGTCAGGGAGTGTAGCGGTATGGCTTTACTATCAAAAAGCATCAAAACCATTTTCAGAAATAATTTTAAAGTTGTATTGTCGGGAAATCATTCTGCAGCCATCCACAGGGTGGTGGTCACAGCACTTTTTGTTCACTCAGCCAGCCACTTGTTGTCTATAGGGTGATTTTTCACACCAGCCTCTAGTGGCCAGTCAAGGAATTACAGTTTGGTCACTTACCTGGGAGGGGAGAAACCATGATCAAGTAGGTGGTTCACCCAGGGTGAGTCCGAACCATTACACTGAAGGTTTGGTTGACCTCTACAAATTCCCCAAATGTGGGAATCTCGACTGCATAATTTCTGGTAGTGGGAGACTGCGTTCGCGCTCTCCCCTTATGTCATTTTTATGGCTCGGTGGTCTAGGGGTAAAATGCTCACTTTGGGTGCGAGTGATCCCGGGTTCAAAACCCGGATGGGCCCATCTTTAATTATGGTCGCTAGTTCGATCCCCAGCTCCACTAGTAGTCGAAGGTGGGATTAGTGTTGAAACTCTCTCCCTCCTGAGACAACATTACTGTGGTGACCTTGAGCAAGTCACCAGTTACCACAGCTCCCCGGGCTCCGCAGCCATGGCTGCCCACTGCTCCTAGTGTGTGTTCACGGTGTGTTTATTCACTGCTTTGTGTGTGCACTTGGATGGGTTAAATGCAGAGCACAAATTCCTTGTATGGGTCACAATACATGGTCGTAACGTCACTTTCACTTTCTTTTCACAGCTTCACAAGGGAGTGTGTGCTCTTTAGAACATAAATAAATATTTTTTTACAACTGGGGAATAACAATGCATGATAACAGCTGGTGTGATCTGATAATCAGGTTTATTTCTGTCTCTTCGTGGCTCCATCTCATTATGGGATGAGGAGCAGATAATGGTCTTGAAAGGTCAGAGGGCACAAAGAACATTGACTAATTCAATGATTTCCTCATCTGTGTACAGCAGAATAAGCTCTACAGCCTCTTTCCCATCATCATTACCAGTGTGAGCTACTGTGGGAAAGGGCGACACTGTGAAATAGTCTGTTAATAAAGCTGAGACTCATTTCTGAATCCTATTAAACCCAGCATTAGTGAAGAGGAGAGCCGCTCAACAGATAAAGGGAGAGCAGACAAACATAAGAAATCCACCAGCATGGTTGAACAAGTACCAAAGTGCTCCACTCATAAAGGGAATCATCTAATGAAAGTATCAGTTATAGGTATTAGGACTATTACTATTACTGGGAAATAATGTTTTAACTGTCTGTTGAAACAGGGAGGGCAGCCTTTCAGCCTGGTGTCTACCCAAGCTTGTGTTTAAACCCCTGCTGTGACCACATGCTTCATCAGAGCTTAATTCACCACTGAGTGCATGTGCATGCTCATCAGTCACCTGGTTATGTGCAGTAAGCCGAGTATTGGGTTTTCTGTCCTGTCATGTACAAAAAACATTTTTCTGTTAACGGTTTAAAAGAGAAAAAGATCATTTTTGCCTTATAACTCAATTTCTCTTTGCATGTGGTTTTACATGTATGCATGTCTGCAGTAGAGAGCAATTGCAGGATACAGGGACATTACTGTCCGTTGTCCATGAATTCCTTTCATTTTACACGTTTTTACTGCTTTTACATAAAACATGAGTGGTCACTTAAATAGCTCATAAAACGAATCTCTAGATTCACACAGTGCATTCACGGGTACCATTGAAATACACTGACATCTTTGATTTGAGCTCTGATGCTGTTTTACTTTAGACATTCTAAGAAATAAAACACAATATTGGAAAGTAGGGATGCAGCGAAATTTCAGAAATTTCTCCATCAAACACAGAGTATGTTGGCGGTTTGGAAGCACTGCAAAGTTTCAGATGAGGTCAGCAAAGTTGCGATATTTTTGCAATTATTTTTCTTCTGTTTGTGCACTGTTGTTTGGTACAGTAATTTAAAATGGAAGTAAATAATTAGCTATAATTTTTATGCACAATTTTGTTACAGAAAGAAATTTTATTTAGTTTTGTTATTGTTAAACAGCCTTATTACTGTTATTTATTATCAATAAAAGTTTGATAATAAATCATGTTTTTTTAATGAAGCCATTTTCGGTTTCGCTATAAATTTTCAGCCAAGTGCATCCAAAGTGTTCGTTTTCGGCCCAGAATTTTCATTTCGGTGCATCTCTATTGGAAACTCATTTAATGAAGAGTGTTAAATAGATCCAGAGGGGAAATTTAGCACAGAGCACACAGGACATGGACTCTTCTGAGAAGTTAGATGCAGATTTCCAGAATTTCATGGTTTTTATGATCAATCAACAGACTGAAAAAAATGACAAATCTTCTAGTGTTTGCATCATGTTCTTTGTTCATTTAAACAAAACAAAGTAATGCGCACACATAGTTTAACATCCCATAGGCCTTAAGACTGATGGAGTTTTGAGGAAAACAAATACAATCTCTAGGAGTCAACTTCCTAATAATTTTGGAAATGCGATCCATACAATTATATATTTAAGTCTTGGGACCCTACACGTGTGCTGAATTTAGTTTGCAAAGGAAAAAATGGGAGCGCAACATAAGCTGAAACGTGTCAGGTGATGCTATAGAGCCATTTTCAAACCACAATCAGACGCAAATTTTCACCAAATCTGATGTGAGTGAAATTTGTTGACTTTCGAACACGTTTAGACCCTCAAAATGCACTGAAAACTGCAAAACAAGAATGCTCTGAGCAATTACAAATGGGTTCTACGCACCTTCGGCGTTTAAGCCCTAAAACTGTGTACACATCTCAGAGTTCCTCAACTACAAACGTCAAGGCCATATCCACCAGTGATGCGTAGGTCGATCTTTACACAACCAGCACAAAAAAGAGAAAATATTGTACCCAACCTGCTCCTGACACAAATTCTTTAAAAGCAGTAAAAGGTTGTATCTTAGCATCACTGGGCCAGAGATTTAGCCTTGTGTGTTATCTTCTTATCAGTAAATCTGCCGATGACGTGCAGGCCTATGTAAAACTGTGCCTAGAACTATATAAATTACAATTAGGGGTGTAACGGTTCACGGTATGTATTGAACCGTTTCGGTACGGCCTGTTCGGTTCGGGACACTTGCGTACCGTTTCGGTATTCGGTATTTGTATTAAATAATATAAATGTATTATTAGCGCGATATTAAGCGCAGCGGAACCATGTTCCTAGGCGAGTTTCCGCACGGACGCTATTGAGGGACGTGCAGCTGTACTGTGCGACACTCAATAGCGTCCGTGCGGAAAATCGCCTTTGGCTTCCCTGTTAAAATACATAACGGGGATAGACGAGTGGATAAATTTAAAGTTGTATGCCGACATTGTTCCACGGAGATCGGGCAGGCAACACATCTAACATTTTCTACTGCTGGAGATATTGTCACTGCAACCAGATCTGTGCTCTCTTCAGAAAATGTGGATAGGTTAATCTTTTTAGCCAAAAACTTAAAACTTGAATAGTTAGTTTTGTTGATATATAAGCTGAAGCTGTTGCTAGTGTTAAAAGTTTTCAGGTCCTAACTAGTTGCAGTATTTCATTTTTTATTTAATAAAATGTGTTTTTCTTTATAAAGAGTGCAATTTATTTAAAATATCACCCAAATGTGTCACTTTTATTTATTTTATGCAAGAATTCTATTGTGTATTGGCAGCTTTTCAAAATAAAGATTATGTAAGTTTTTATTTTTTTTGTACCGAACCGAATTAACCGAACCGAACTCTCCAAGACACTGTACCGAACCGAATACAATTTTAGCGTACCGTTACACCCCTAATTACAATGTATCTTTATTCTAAATAACCTGACCGATGGTGACCCGAATATCATTAAAATATTTTTGGATGACTATTAACCATGGCTAACCACGGTTGACAACAGGCGCCTGCTCAGTTTGGATCAACCATTGCATCACTTGTACACCAAGTCCAGAAAAAGGATATGCTGTTCCATTTATGTGTGGATGAACAGCGTAACGGCATAGAAAAATTTTCAGTTTTAAGTTAGAAGTCTATTCATGCCCTGGTACAAGTGCCATATGAAGGCTGTTTTAAAGACCAAAAAGGTCCACAAGCACCACTTCATGAATGAATGACACAACTGACAATGAAAATGACACAGATTGTGTCATTCAACGGAAAATGAATGACACAACTGACAGAAAACCAATTTGGGGTTCTGACAAATTTCCCAAGTCTTGAAAATGAGGTTATGGCAGAGCAGTGCAATGCAGTAGGCACCACACTACACTTTGAAGGGCATTCTGATTTGAACAGTAGAGACCTTTAGCAGGATATCAAAAACTTCCCTTACCCACCATCAAAAACCACCTTGAGCTAATCACTTAATGCAATAATGATCTCTCTGAGATCTACCCCAACTTCTCGCCCAGGGCGCAATTCCACGTAGAACCACCACTGTCTGCTACAAACAAATATCTATGATATCCAAACTCAACACACTGTTCATGATGTCGTGAGCCACACATTAGAGACCGAATCCTGATCCTGCTTCTCCTCCGGCCATTAACAATTTATAGCAGCCTTGCAATGTGATAGCTGATGTCACTCTGTACATGTCTCTGTACGTGTCACGTGGTGAGACGTGAAAAACAGAGTGCAAGAATGAGATAAAAAGGGAAACATTAATGCTCCACATTAATCAGAATTATATTTTTCTGAGAGATCATCACAATTTATGTATAAACATGTCAACACTCTGGTAAAACACAAGTATATTTTAAACACTTGTGGAATTTATTCAGATATTTAATTATATAGTTGGTTAACGAAATATATTTGCTAAATGAAGCATTGTTAATGTGATGAGTTCTGCTTCTGTCCTTTCCCTTCTCCTAAAATGTATTAATTGCTTAATAAGCCAGGTTCTTAAATTCCTTCAAGACCGTGTTCATCTACAGAATTCACGCTCACTTTATTTTTACACGGTTTTGTGTCTTGTAAGCCTGTTGGAAAAGTAGCTAGTATAAAGAGGCAAAGTCTCAATCACTACTTCAGCCATATTGTTAGTATCATGCGTTAGCATCCTTAAATCAGCAAGAGTGCATACCCTGCAAAGTCTCTGCTTTTACCACACGCTTTTACTTCATTTGAATGTACTGCCCAACAGCGTTTACCAATTCAAGTACACCTTTTCAAATGGCTCTCTAAGTATCTTTTTTACAAATAACAACACACATTTTAAAAGTTCAACATGTGTTCTTTTGTGCTCACAAGATTGGTTCAACCCACCTGAGAAAGCAAACAGTTGAGAATGCTGCTAACTCTTTATCAGCAAACAAACTTGGCCTAAGTTTAGCGTTCATCTGGCTCTGGCATGCAGCATATGGGCCAAACATGGCCCACACAACATGGGGCCAGATACCTTATATAGTATTTCATAAGTTATTAACCTAACTGTTA